TATATATATATATATATATATATATATGTATGTATGTATTTGAAGCAATGCCTTCCAAAACCTTTTCAATGTAACTTAGCAGATCTTTGGTAAATACTCATAAGTACCAATTGTTAGCAAGTATGAAATGGTTGGTAGTAATACCAGCTAAAAGTTGTTTGGACTTTCTAAAATTCTTTAGAGAAGACTCACAAAGAATTTCTGAATGAGGACTATAATTCTAAAGTAGTTTTAAGCACTTTTTATGGCTACTAGTCTCTTCTATCAATCTGAACAAAGACACACAAAAACTCCAGGTGATAATGAGAAGGATTTTTCCTTATTTCCAATATACACATATTCCAAATCTGTACAAATTAAATAGTGGTATTTTATGAAGGTATCAGTGCGTTCAGGAATTCCTTATTGCACATAATGATAACAAATGCCCAGTTCTTTTGGCCTTACCCTGCCAAACTAATAAACAACTTTTTTCTATCACATTATCTTTCTGTAAAATCTAGAGTGGGTGATGCCTTCGAGACTGGGGTTGTGAAAGGATCTCTTGGAGGGGCAGGACCAGGTGGAGGGACAGGCGGTGGGGGTGGTCTTCTTGATGGCAACACACAGAAAGGAACATTTGTACCTTTATTCCAGTCATCATCAAATGTCAAATTTGAGCCAGAAAATGAAGCTGGCAGGTTACCCAGTGAGCCTGGACAACAAGCTGACTTTGATTTCTGCTTCACACCAAAGTCCTCTCCCTCCTCGAAGGTTACCCATCCTTTTGGATTACTAATTTTATCTGAGGATTGGCTCTGCAGATCAAAATTGTCCTCAAAGCCATCAAGTGAAGATGAAGGCTTGCTTCTGCTAGGATCGAGGTGCTGGAGAGAAGGGGAAGGACTATTAACAACAAGCCCTTCTTTGGAAAACCATGAAGCTACTTCTGATTCTTGAGACTCAGCTCTAAATGGGTTTCCAGGAGCAGCAGTCCTGTCAGTGAAAGGATTTGTGCTGCTCAAGCTAGTGATAAATGGGTTTGGAGAACTTCGCATATTTTCCTGGGATTTACTCCGGGCTGGAATTGGAGGCATTGTTGGCATGCAACTTACAACACTCAGAGTATCAACATTACTTTGTATTGCAGAAGGCAACTGGATAAACCCTTTTGAGTTTTGGGTTAGAGCAGGTGATGTTTGAACAGATAACTGAGCCTTTGACACAGCAAGCAGATTAAATGACAGCTCTTCAAATGGGTCATTCTTCAATGGTGGTTCCAGAGTGACATCAGAGACTCCATTTGTTTTTACCTGGAAAAGAAAGAAGACACTGTATAATCAGAGTTTATATTTACTCTTAATATTCCCAATGTTTCCTGTCTCAATTGTTCTTCATTTTTAGGGGCAAGTATACAAATTTAGAAACTAGAAGGCAGCTTTGTATATTTTGCTACTCTGATAATTTAAGTATGATGATACAACTACAATAATTTTCTTTAAAAACTCCCTACTAAATACATCTTTTTACTAAATAAATGTTTTTTTAAATCCCAAAGAAATTAAATAGAACTTACTTCATGCAAGTATTAAAATGGTAAAAGAGAGAACTGTACAGAATTAACAAATGGTTTTTGCTTACGTCCAGGTCTATCACATTTTATTAGCACGAACTTAAGAATTAAGAAACTCATATTCAGAACTCATGCTAAATTTATAAATAAACTTCCAACACCTTTCTATGATGATGATGTGGTTTCATTGGTCTGGTAAATATATTTTCATTTAATATTACTATGGAAATTCAATTAAATGGATAAAAATTTAGTTCAATTAGTATAGTTGTATTATAAGCTGGAAACAATACATCTTTTCCTTTTCTACTTGGAAAAATGAATTTTCAAAGTTTTTTTTTTGGCTTTTAATATAAATTCTCTTTTTTAGAATAAACTCTGAATAATGTGACAACTTTCCTTAATCTTGTAAAATCGTTATAAAGCAGATATATTATTAATAACCAAGTGCAATAATTGAAAAAGAAAAAAAATGGGGAAAAATCCCATTTTCTATTCGGTATATTAATTCTAAAACCAAAATGAAGCTGTGCCCAGAATAGTGCCGAGTCCCTTTCACGTGAACTGTTACTGATAGGAAGAGTGTCCTGAATTATTTCAAAGTTATAAAAAGTTTACACTGGCCCCCTAAGTGGCCTTTGTGCCTAATTCACGAAGAAACTAATGAGTAGAACAAAGCTAAGGGACTGAGTAAATTCAATTGTTCTCAAGGGAAATGAAACTCTAGTCCTGGCTTCATTAGCAATTAAGCTCATTCTTAATTAGAAACAAAAATAAAATCTCTCTATATAATTGTTACAACTGGATAGATGACCTGGACATTTATGCCAACTTCAAGATAAGAAAAAAAAAAAATCAAGATTGGAAAAACTGGGGAGGGAGAGCTCTAGCTGATAGTTTTCAATATATTTTCCCCTCAGAGAATAGTATGTTTTCCTAACAAAATGACACCATCCAAAATGAATTAAGATAATCGATAAAGCAAAACAACTAAATTTCATGAAATATAGTGCAAAAAAAGACCCAGACTCCCAATTAAATGTAATTGCATATTACAAAACATTAATTTATGCACTTTTAAGAATAGGGGTATTCATTTACAAAAGGAAATTATATGGGTAACTTGATAAGTGACTTTCAAGTATCTGACTCTTCTATTAAATTGCTCTAGAATATACTTTATATACTTAAATACTGAATAAGTTTTCCTTCAAAGAAATTTAATGTAACAATAAATTTGTATGAAATAAAAGAGTAAACATGTCACAGACTCAAAAACTGTATTCTAAGTGTATAAAAAGTTAAGCTGACATATATATCGAAATATATTTCAAAAACAAATTTATCATAAACATCATAAAATTACAGTTAACTATATTGCCAATGGGACTCTGGTGGTGTAATGCCTAAGGGATTTGACTGCTAACCAGAAGGCTGGAGGTTCAAACCCACCAGCCACTCCTCAGAAGGAAGACTGGCAATCTACTTCCATAGTGATACCGCCTTGGAAACCCAAGGGAGGGGCTGTTATGAGTTGGATCCAACTCATCAGCAGTGAGGTTTTCTCTCTTTTTTTTTTTTTTGGTATACTGCCAATAATTTCAGGATAATTTATGATTAAGAAAATAAAATGGAAATATTTGGGCCTGGGATGCAATTCTCTCATGGCAGATCAAACAGTTCACAATACAGACATAATAGGAAAGGAGAATTTTATGCTTTGCACAGCTTACAATAGTTGGCCTTAGCCAAATAAATGCTATACATTTAAATATCTTTATTTTCATATTAAGAAAAAAATTTATTTCAAAATAAGTTAAAAATAATGTGTTACATGTGGCGTCATTTTGCCTAATTAGGCTTGAAATGACAATGAGAGCCACACCAACATTCATTACATTAGAATTAATTTGTCATCTAAGCTGGATTTTTGATGACTTGATTTTAAAAATGGTTATGTTTTTACAGAGAAAGGTGTTGGAAAGATCTTTTATAATATTAATTTTCATCTTTCTAAGGCATCGATTCTTTTTTACCTATAAAAATCTTGCTGGTAAAACTACAGGCAGTCCCCAGATTACAAATCAGTTCCATTCTTAAGTCTGTCTTTAAGTTGAATTTGTATGTAAGTCAGTATAATTAGGTACTGTTCGTATCTAACATCAGTTAGTCAAGTGGTTGTCCCTAAATAAAGTATACAGTATATATTCTATGCATAAAAAACATCAAAGAACAACTTAGAAAAACAGGGTAAGAATGGCTGCACAACTCAGAGAATGTAATCAATGTCACTAAATTGTGCATGCAGAAACTGTTGGTGTATGTTTTGCTATGTACATTCTCAACAACAACAAAATAAATAAAGTTTAAGAAAAAAAGAAAACCATATGGAGCACAGTTCTATTTATTCTGACACACATAGGTCAGATTATGAGATGGAATCAAGTCTATGGCAACTGTATTGTTTTTTAAAAAATACATACTCTAAGTATAGCTTCATTATGTGCATGAGTGAATTTACAAAAAGAACAACTTTTATGAAGTGTGCCTTCAGATCCTATGTCTCAATAAGACCCTATACATCACAGATGACGAAACTGGTATCTAGAAGGTAAAGACTCATATTGTTTAAGAAATGAATGCTTAAGGCTATCTGAAATAATCAAGAAATAGTGCCCATATGGTTGTCACCCAGAGGCTTCTTACACTAATTTCAGACATCAACAAGAACAGAAACTAGTGTTTTAGAAGTAAAGGGTCTATACTCTATGACCCATGGGTCAAAGAGCAGGCTCTTACTTTTATAAATAAAGGTTTATTGGGACACAACTTAAAAAACTTTTTTTTAAAGAAACATTTCCAGATAGACTAAACATTTTTAATATGATACAGTAAAAATAAAAATGGTTTGACGCACATAGCAAAGTAGTACCTGTTTGTTATTACCAACCACTGTATATACCTCAAATTTTTAATATAATAGGCTTTACAGGGATTGGTTCATAACTACAAGATATATGTAAGTCAGATGTTCATAACCCAAGGACTGCCAGTATTTAGGAAAAAAAAAATTCCCAAAACAAATCTAAGCAGAAATTATTGAATTTTGTGTTCATATAATTATGCCATTTAATAATTATGCCACTGTTAAAACTGAGAACCAATTTGCTTTTACCAAATAGGCTTTCATATACCTAAACTTACCTCCATCAAGTTACACATTTTAGTTTGGTTAATTTTCATAAAAAATGAAGCCAAAAATTATAAAGCATTAGCAAGAAAGACTAAAATGGTTCCTAAAAATTCAAAATACTAAGAAAAATAAAAAGCAAGTTTTATGGTATGATAATAGAATTTATTAATGAGGACATGTGGTTTTAAAAATGGGTGAATCTTTAGATGTATGAAGCACAAGATTCATACATCTAATGTACTAGGACAGATGAAAAGCACATACAAGATTGATAATTGTCAGATACCTGTTACCCTGATGGTTGCTCCTGCTTTGAGAAAGGGAACACAGACATCAAAGGAAAGAGTTAGGAGGATAATCCCAGACCAACCAGCAACTCTACCAATTCAATATTCAAAATACTTTCTGTTCTGTGTTATAAATAGAATCCAAGAGCAATGATATTTGCAGGTCAAAGCATTAGTTCAAGCAACAATTCCAGTTCCTTTTATAATTTTGAACAAAAATTTTTTTGTTGAATTAGGGCCCAGACTTAAATTTTGTCTGAGGTTGATTACAAACCAGTTTAAAGTGTTGTTATTCCAAAAATATATTCAAATAGGTTTTTGGAACTCTAAAATATTGTAAGCAGTTTAGGATAGCCTATGGATCTGTCATCATCAGAGAAAATGTACAAAATGGCACCACTATGCAAAAGAAAAGTACCAGCTCATCAAAAATTAGCATCCATTTAACAAATTGGTCAGAATCTAGACTTGCTCCATAATACTCCGTTTTCTCAAGGACATTATCTTCAACTCACCTCAATTTGAACAAGGAAAGAAACTAGATCCACTTTTGTTGTTTAAAAATAAAACCCATCATCATCTTTCTATATTAGAGCAGTATCTTTTTCATCCAGTATGCTCAAGAAACAAGGAACCTTGGTAACGAAGAGGTTAAGTGCTCAACTGTAAACCCACCAGCCGTTCCACAGGAGAAAGAGATGTGGCAGTCTGCTTCCATAAAGATTACAGCCTTAGAAACCCTTGGGGACAGTTGTACTCTGTCCTAGAGGGTTGTTATGAATCAGAAATGATTCGTTGGAAACATACATACTTTGGCAATTTAGAGAGATACTATTCTAAAATACATTAACCATTTTTAGAGTTTCCTGTCTACTAAACCCAAGTCTCCTGAATTTGAGTGAACACTTTCGTGATGATTTCAGGGTTCTCTATATCAGGACTGGACAGCAGGAATGAGTTTCTGGACCCTCCATTAAGAGACCCAGAATGCTGAGATTTTCTAATTGGCCTCTTCCCTCACTGTCCTCTTTCATTAAAGTTGAGTTCTGTTATTTACTTCCTGTTAGATTTCCCTTTGTCTGGTTCTGAACTAACTGATATTCAGATGACTAAGATAATTGGAAGTCAGGCAGATAAGTGAGGCATTTTTGTACATAGTCAAGAATCTGTAACATGTTATATAATGATTCATCAGATTTAAAGGGATCTTTTCCAAATGGAATTAGAGAGTCAAAGAACATTTAAATAATAAAAAATAAAGCTAAATTATATAAGTTTTCATGTTTTAAATAAGTCATCTTATAGGTTTGAGACAGGATAAAGATTATTAACTGTTTAATTTTAAGACGATTTCATGTCATTACCAAACTATCAAATTGTCAGATTTTAAAAATGTCACCCTTAAATTTTCAATTTATAGCTACTTCATAGAATTTTTAAAATTTTACTTTTTTTGAATAAGTGTTATTCTTATGCTTCAAAAACTAAAAAGGTATAAGAAGGTATAAGATAAAAAGCTCTTCCTTCCCTTAAACACTGTCTACTTACATTCCCTGAGGCAAACTAAAGTTAAGCACTTTGTGATCTCTTACAAAGACACAAGTTAAGAACTCCTACCCTCAAAAAAGAGAGTGTGTCCTTGTATGTAATTTTCAGAGGAATTTTATATCCATGACTGAGGAAAAAAGAAAATTTAAAACAAATATCTTTGTTATTTTTGATTAACAGAACATCCCAAGAGTCAAGAAAGAACACTACCAAGCATGTGCTGTCTGACACCAAATCACTACACCATTTTAATGAAAACCAGAAATTAAAACAATGAAAAATGATCTAAGAAAATGACATTTGATGGTCATGGGAATATTCATCCTGTACTACTGTGTGTCATAAGATGACTTTATATTGACACTTTCACACTTGTCTAAGGATACTTATGCCAATACAGAGTTTTAGGAACTAAGTTGCACTTTTATTATGAACTAAGTGGTTAAGAGCATGGCTGCTAATGGAAAAGTCAGTGGTTCAAACCCACCAGCCACTCTGTGAGAGAAAGATGTGGCAGTCTGCTTCCTAAAAATGACAGTCTTGACTCTCTGGAACAGTTCTACTTTGTCCTATAGGGTTGCTATGGGTCAGAACAGACCAATTATATTTTAAAAATAGAATTCTATACATTACATATAGTATTGTAATTGGAGGGCAAATAACTGTTAAGCATTCTACTACTGATTTAGGGCAGAAAGTGAACATCCAGTTTATATTAAATCCATTGCCCTCCTATTTTAAAAATAGAATACCATACATTACAGGGAGCTCTGGTGGCATAGTGTGCCTAAGGCATGCGACTGTTAACCAGAAGGCTGGTGGTTCAAACCCACCAGCTACTCCTCGGAAGGAAGACTGGGCAATCTACTTCCGTAGAGATACTGCCTCGGAAGCCCAAGAAGGGGTCGCTCTGAGTCGCAATTGGCTTGATGGCAGTGAGTTGTTTTTTTTTTTTAATTTTATTTTGATTTGGGTGAAGATTTACAGAGTAAATTCACTTTTCATACAGCAGTTCACATATACTTTGTCTCATGTTGTTGTTGTTGTTATGTGCCGTCGAGTCGGCCCCGACTCATAGCGACCCCTCCTTGGGTTTCCGAGGCAGTATCACTACGGAAGTAGGATTGCCCAACCTTCCTTCCGAGGAGTGGCTGGTGGGTTTGAACCACCAGCCTTCTGGTTAGCAGTCAAGTGCTTTAGCCACTATGCTCATGTCATTGACCAAAATTTACAATGCAACAGCTCCCCTTCCACTTCCTCCCCATAGTTACCACTTCCCAGTGTCCATCCCTCCATACTCTCCTGCCTCCTGAGCTGTCTCCCTGTGCATAAGCAGCCCTTCCTTCTCCCATGATTGTTCTCTCCAGGGTGTGTGTCTACTTGAGGTAAATGTTTAATTCACATGCCTGTACTTTGTTTGGCTGGAAACCACAGGTGTGGGTTCAATTCCAGAACTGAAGGGCAGCTAGGGGCCATAGTCTCAGTGGTTCCACCAGGCTCTATTGGACCAGCAAACCTGGTTCCCACTTTTTTTTGCCTCCAAATGATTTTGAGTTTTGTTCCACATTGTTCTCCCTCTCTATACAGGATCTCCTACATCCCTTCCAAGTGGATGACAGTGGTAGCCAGGCACCATCTAGTTCTTCTGGTCTCATAGTTGTATAGGTTGCAGATCGGATGGTGTGCCAGTTGCTAGGACTGATTGTTTCCATTAATTTTGGTTTTCTTCTTGATGAGGAGAGACCCATTGTTGCATCTAGATGGCAGCTTGCTAGCTTTTAAGAAGTTTGATTTTTTTTAAATACATTACAAGAAAATAATAAGAGAAATCCCTGATTCCAGGTGGCTTGGTAGGGAGAAAAGAATGGTGGATGTTTATTCTATGAAGGATTTCTAGCATTATTAAATCCAGCATCCTAGATTTTCTGAGCCAGAAAGTAAAGACTACTTTTTGGTATTAATCAGATTAAGAGAGCATTTTATTTTTCTATATTATGTATCCTTCTTCATCTTTCATCTTTATCTTTCCAACAATTTAATGAGTCAACATTAATTGGTTCTTAGTTGTTTAAGATTATATTCAGATTGTTTTAAAAGGATATCTGGTTTTCACCATGTAGAAACTAAAGTAGGAAAAGGTTAACTTCTGTTAACTAGATGGATGTATGTGTAAAGATAAATGTAAACTGTAATCTATAAATATACTTAAGGGCCTAATATTAGACTAATGTCTAATATTTCTATATTTCAGATCTTTCCAAAGTTTAAAAGCAGACTTTTACAATTGCACATATTTCTTTGGCCTTGATGGTATTTTCAAGTTTCAAATAAAATATAAGGTTATAAAAACCAAAAAACCAAACTCACTGCCATCAAGTTGGACCCAACTCATAGCGACCAAAATGTACTTAATAAATTTCATTTGATCAATTTTGATGAAATGTGTGTAACAAAGCTAAGTAAAACAGCATCCAACCAAAAACAAAATAATTTCATTTGAATGATTATTCCTGTATTAAAACGACTTTGTATGTGTACACAAGAATTCTTTTCAATAGAAATCACTCTGGCAGAATAAGAGTCCTTGTAATCCCATGATTTCAGCCCACCAAGGCAATGGCACTGTTTTCTGGGAGATACTAATGAGGAGAATTATTATTTTAACAGTTTTTACTTTGGTGAACAAGCCTCCTGCTTCTAGCCCAAGTGATCTAAACTGACCCAAAAATGAATGATTACAAGGATTTGAAATAAGTGAGGAACAATAGTGTCAGCTCCAACACAGAAAAGAACTACTGCTTGATTAGAGGAACAAAAGGATTACTTTTTTATTGAAAATTACCATATTGCCACTTGTCTAGGAGCTGATCTGATCTGCCTTTCTCACCAGGATATGAAAGTCAAGACTAATTTGTTATGGGGAATAAGAAAAATAAATTCTTGTTGTATATGCTAATTTATTAACTATCCAAAGTAAACTATGCATGAAAAAAACAGAAAGTTGCAAACACTTTAAAATGTTAAGATGAGAAAACAGCCTGGGAACCAGCTGTAATGCCCAAAAGAATCCTGATTTAGGATTACTCTGTAGAATCACTGATCTAAGCAGTAGATTAAAAAACAAACAAACAAAAAACAACCTGAAATAGCCAAATAATACCTTTATTATATGACTAGTTTGTGAGGTCAAATGACACTCACTAGTTGAAGACATCTCAAGATGCTATTAACACCAAAAGATAAAAACAGAAAGTAAGAAAGCTTGTATTTGTTTATTTCTTATAAAAGCTAGTAATTAAAATAAGTATATTTGAAGACTCTCCCATATTCATCAAAGATAATACTTGAATAGTGAGACTTACTTGCTGTTGTGAGGAAGATTCTGAAGGCAAGTTATGGGATGACCTGCTTCGAGGTGGTGGCTGGGGGGGAGTTTCCAAAATTGGCTGGGGGACAGACTGAGGCAAAGGTGCTGCCATAGGGATAAGAGGCTCCTGCATCTTTTGAACAGGTGGGGGCAGAGAAGGCTGCACAGGAAGGGCAGCCTGAGGCTTCAGTGGTTCAGGAAGGTGAGCTGAACCTAAAGAAAAAAAATCATTTTCAGATGTCAGATGTTTACTAGAAAACCAAGTTTTATCCCTCCTTTAGTGAAATGTTGGGAGGACATTCTAGGTTTTTTTTTTTTTCTAATAAGTAGCCTCATTTCTTATGGTATAAAGAAGGGATATCCATATTTGAGTAAGTTGTAGAAGGTGGGAAATGACAGGAGGAAAAATGGAAAGAAAAAATGAAAGGAAAGAATATAGAATAAACTGTATTTCTAATATAGTGTCTACCTTTTGGTACTTCAGATGGTTTGCTTTGGCTTTCAGGAGTTAGTCTTCCAGCAGACACCCGAGCATGGCTCTGTGGCGCACTAATAACTCCTGCACGGGGTGGAATCATCTACAAGCAGGAAATGTAACATTTGAGACACTTGCTTATTTTCACAGGTAAGATCCTGTGGAAATAACTGTTCTTGTATCACATTTACTCTACTGTCTATATTATTCCCCAACTTATCATTTTAATTGTTCTCTATCTGTAGCTACATATTCATACCAGGGCTATCATTGCTGATGTCAGATAGATCTTGGCTCAAAGCAAAGAATACCAGAAAGATGTTTACCTTTTTATTGACTATGCAAAGCCATCTGACTGTGTGGATCACAACAAATTATGGGGAACATTGTGAAGAATGGGAATCCCAGAACACTGAATTGTGCTCATGAGGAACCTGTACATAGACCAAGATGCTATCATTTGAATAGAACAAGGGGATACCCAGGAAGGGTGGCCATCAGGGTTATATCTTTTCACCATACTTATTCAGCCTGTGTGCTGAGCAAATAATCCAAGAAGCTGGACTATATGAAGAATGCAGCATCAGGCGTGGAGGAAGAACCATTAACAACATGTGATATACAGATGATACAACCTTGGTTGCTGAAAGTGAAGATGACTTAAAGAACTTACTGATGAAGATCAAAGACTACAGTCCTCAGTATAGATTACACGTCAATATAAAGAAAACAAAAATGCTCACAACTGGATCAATAAGCAACATCATGATAAATGCAAAAAAGACTGAAGTTGTCAGGGATTACATTACACTTGGATCCACAATCAAAACCCATAGAAGCAGTAGTCAAGAAGTCAGACATCGTATTGCACTGGTCAAATCTGCTGCAAAAGATCTCTTTAAAGCGTTAAGAAGCAAAGATGTCACTTTAAAGATGGTAGTTGTTATTGTTGTTATGTGCTGTCGAGTCATCTCCAACTGATAGTGACCTTACATACAACAGAACAAAACACTGCCCTGTCCTTGTGCCAGCCTCACGATCCCTACTATACCTGAGCCCATCGCTGCAGCCACTGTGTCAATCCATCTTGTTGAGGACCTTCCCCTTTTTCATTGACCCTCCACTTTATCAAGCATGACATCCTTCTTCAGAGAATGGTCCCTTCTGACAACATGGCCAAAGGAGATCAGATGAAGCCTTGCTATTCTTGCTTCCAAGGAGCATTCTGGCTGCACTTCTTCCAGGACACATTTGTTAGTTCTTTTAGCAGTCCTTGGTACTTTCAGCATTCTTCACCAACACCACAACTCAAAAGCATCAACTTTTATTCGCCCTTCCTTATTCATTATCCAGCTCTCACATGCATGTGAGGTGACTAAAACTACCATGGCTTGGGTTAGGCACATCTTAAGTCTTCAAGGAGATATCTTTGCTTTTCGTCACTTGAAAGAGGTCTTTTGCAGATTTGCCCAATGCAATATGCCTTTTAATGTCTTGACTGCTCCTACTATTGGTGCTGATTGTAGAATCAAGCAATATAAAGTCTTTGACAATCTTTTCTCCATTTATCATGCTGCTGCTTACTGGTCCAGTTGTGAGGATTTTTGTTTTCTTTATATTGAGATGTAATCCATACTACAGACTGTAGTCTTCAATTTTCATCAGTAAATGCTTCAAGTCATCCTCACTTTCAGCAAGCAAGGTTATGTTATCAGCATATCACAGGTTGTTAATGATTCTTCCTCCAGTCTTCATGCCATGTTCTTCTTCATATAGTCCAATTTCTCAGATTATTTGCTCAGCATACAGACTGAATAGATATGGTGAAAGGTGCCCATCCTGATTTTAAACTATGCAGTACCCCCTTGTTTTGTTCGAACAACAGCCTTCTGGTCTATGTACAGGTTCTTCGTGAGGACAATGAAGTGTTCTGGAATTCCCATTCTTCTCAAAGTTATCCATAATTTTTTATGATCCACACAATCAAATACCTTTGCATAGTCGATAAAACATGAGGAAACATCTTTCTAGTATTCTTTGCTTTCAGCCAAGATCCATCTGACATCAGCTATGATATCCCTCACTCCATGTCCTCTCCTGAATCCAGCTTGTATTTCTGGAAATTCTGTGTCAATATACTGCTGCATTTTTGAATTATCTTAAGATTTTACTTGCGTGTGATATCAATGATATCAATATATCAATGATATATCAATGATACTGTCTGATAATTTCCACATTCTGTAGGATCACCTTTCTTTGGAATGGGTACAAATAAGGATCTCTTCCAGTCAGTTGGCCAGGTAACTGTCTTCCAACTTTCTTGGCACAGCCAGGTGCCTCCAATGTGGCATCTATTTGTTGAAACATCTCAATGGGTATTCCATCAATTCCTGGAGCCTTGTTTATTGCCAAATCCTTCAGTGTAGCTTTGACCTCTTCCATTAATACCACTGGTCCTTGATCATATGCCACCTCCTGAAAAGGATGATCATTGACCACTTCTTTTTGGTATAGTTACTCTGTGTGTTCCATCCATCTTTTTTTTTTT